AAAATTCAAAAAATAAGTAAAGGAGTCTTTTTCAGAAACAGCTGCTGTAGTTTGATCATCTGGAGTCTCTGGGTGTGTGTGGTGATTATGGAGAGTCTTCACTGTATAATCACTGAGCTATTGATCAAAATAGGATGATATTAATGCTTAATAATAACAAAAAAATTCCCCATGTCCCCTGGGGGGCTCCGTAAAAACCAGTCAGCCCCCCCCCCCCCCATGGGCTCTTCTAAAGAAATGTACTTGCAAGCTAGCTACATCATGTGTGATGTTGCTGTAAAACCCTCACAGGGGGTTAACGTAGAATTAACCCTTCATAGGTCTCCTGGATTGTTGTTTTTTCAGATAAAAGTATTGACTGCTGACCATAATGACTTCTTAGACTGTGAACCACATGAAAACTGATCATTTTACTTTAGTATATATATTTTTTCTGTATAAATGTGGTAAAAATCATTTAAATTACGGTGATTACATGATTTATTTCCAATTGAAGTAATTTCTCTGCACATTAGTGTGCAGGCTGGTTTATTTTTTTACATAGTTGCAAAACCTGCTGTTCCAGCGGAGCGGTTCATTGTACGACTGGACTAGACTCCACCTGAGATGTTGATGCAGGACGTTCCCAATGGGAATGCCATCCGCTTCCCTGGAGGGTGGTAGGAAAAAAAAACAAGGAAAACTTAAGGATTTTTCTTCCCTTTCTTTCTGCGGATTCCTAATTTTTTTTCTGAGATCTCAGACAATTTTTGTTGTTACTTAGTTTTATTTTTTTGATCGGATCCTATAAAAAGAACTTGATGCATCAGATTTATTTAAGTTCAACTGAAATGGACCATTTATTTTGTGGACCCTGGATTGTCAGTTATTATTGAAACACAGTGAATGTTAAAAGTGAACAAACTGAATTTAAGTTGTATTGAGCCAATGTTCTATTTTAGGAAAATTGTCAAAGATTTTTGAAAATATATTATTGAAGTTATTTAATCCCAGCTGTTGTCAGAGTCTCATTTTAGTTGGAAAAATCTTTCACTCGGTGCCAATCTCCTTACGAATCTAAATTTAACTCAAGTGAGAAGGTTTATGATGTTTTTTTAAGACTTTGGAGATAACGCTGATTGATAAGTTGATATTTGTTTTATTTTTTCTTATTCTTTATTCTTTATTCTACTCAGATAAAAAAAAGGGGAACACACTCAAACAGGACTGCAGAGAAATGATAAAGAAACATTTGGGTTTATTTTGTGTTTAACAGGTTTACCTCAAATATTATGCTATTAAATAAAACACTGGAACTATCAGTAACCTGGAGTTATTTCTGCTCTAGTTGGAACCTGCCAGTATTGATCTAAGACAAAGAAAATGCATAAATTATTCATAAAACAGCACCTCTGGTTATGTTCAACCCTGTATCAGCACACTAATCTGCCTATAGTTTCAGTTTGTCCTCCTCAGTCTGCAGGAGGTGACTTTCCTCTGGTCGTTTCTCGCTCACATTGTACAAAGAGATAAAAGCTTTTTAACTTTTATTTCAATGTTTTCTCCCAGAAATGGATCCAATTAAACTCAATCTTTCAATAGTGGTTCTTCAATTCAAATGACTCTTTCAATAGTTTAGGAACAAACTAAAGGAATGTCTTTGTAAAATATATTAATTTAAAGTTTTCCTCGTGCTATATGCTGCTCCATAGCTCTACTGGAAGCAAGGCTGTAACTCTGTGATGAAAGCTGGTGGGGGCGCTCTGAGGGTGGGGGCTGATGGACTTACAGTTACTTGACACAAACGCTTTTAACAGGGTTTGTATTTTCCTGAAATTAGCTCAAACATCTATTTATTGAATGCTTTCCTATTGTTGAAAACACAAAAGAACAAAAATACAGTGATGTTTATATTTAGTCTATAGTTAGACATTAATGTATAAAAAAAGGATGAATAACAGCCGATTCTGATGCCAACAGCAATATTTCATGTCTCACTAGTATGCACACAATTTCAGTTTAATTCAATCATCCGTCCAGAAAAATTAGGATGGATTGGATGTTTTTCCTTTCAGCTACATCAGTAATTATCCTCCTTCAAAAGCGGCAAAATCAAATTTAGAAAATTCTACCACATATTGTTTAGAGCCAAAGTCTATGTATTGAAATTATTGGTGGGGGCATGTCCACATCAGTCCTATCGAAAGCTACGTCTGTGACTGGCAGCCAATGTAATGAGGCTAAAATAGAGGAAATATGATCAAATTTACTTTACTACCTGTTCAAAGACGCGCAGCAGCATTCTGCACGCTCTAAAGCTGAGAAACGCATGAATCAGTGATGCCCTTATAAAGTGCATTACGGTAATCCAGCTGGATTACAAACGCATTGACCACTGTTTAAAAAAGAAAGTTAGGAAATCAGTTGAAGCGGGTGGTTATAGGGCCCGATAAAATCTGTTTTATTTTTTCCCAAATTCCGCTTTTTCCGTTTTAATTTTTGCAAATTTCATTTTTTTACCCTTTACTCTTATTTTAGTCGTAAAAAGAATGTGCTTTTAATGTTAATGATTAAAATGTACACAAATAAAATAGGAATGACCTTAAATTTATTGAGGTAAAAAAAAGACATTTCCTCAGTACTTTCACTGCATGATGCAACATAACGCTGCACTCTAAGTACTAACAAAATATTACTGGTTATGAACCAATGGTTATCAATAAAAGTGCTCCATTAGCTTTTTCAAGTAAAAAATAAAATAGGACCTTTCAATTTCAGAATTATAAAGTATTTAATAAAGAATCATATTTTCCATACAGTACATTAAAGTGCATAAAAAACAAGGCAAAATACCGCAAGTACTCCTGAGTTATACGATTAAAGTGAACTTTGTCATCATGTAACAGACAAAAACTTTTGATCAAAAGTTACTTAAACAAGTATTCAAGTTGTAGGACTAACATGTATGTATTTTTGTGCTTCCAATCAATGGAATGTTGACAAAACGTGCAAAACAATAGTTGACCTGACACGTAAAAGTCACGAGGGAACTGCTCGGCTCTGTACTCGGGGCTTAGCGTCGTGTTTCTCAACTTTTTCGCCGAAAGCGGAGCTGTGGAGAGCCGCTTCGCCATTTTTTCAATGTTTTGATGGGGGAGGGTGAGCGGAAATGACAGAGGGGGAGGGGTTGTGTCGCCCAGATTTGCGTCCTCCGGTGTGCATTTCACCCCGACGTATGTTTTTCTCCCACACAAAAACAAATAGAAATTCTGCTTTTATACTAGATTCCACGTTAATTTGCCAATTCCGTGATTCTGTCCGCGATTCCGTGTTCGCGGAAATTATAGGGCCCTAGGGTTATCTAAACTGGCTGTTTGTTAAGTCAGCCGAAAAAAACTAGCAGGAACAACACCACTAAAAACAGAGGAGAAAACAGAGATGCAAAAACATTTACATCCTGTGTCATTCTGAAATCCGCTTCATCCAGTGCAGGGAGGATTACACAGCCTCCATTATTGGAGAAACCAAACAACAACTACATAAACACATGGAGCAGCATAGGAGAGCCAGCGACTCTGAGAAAGATTCAGGTGCACCTCTAGAACAAAGGAGACACCTTTGAAGACAAGAGTGCTCGGATGGAGACAACAGATGGTTTGAAAGAGGGGTGAAGGAAGCCATCTTTGTGGGAAGAGAAGAGCCATTATTGAAGAAAGGGGGCGGGTTGAGGTTTCAGCTTCCAACAGTTACTATTCAGTCCTGGAACTGATTCCAAAGGGACTACATCAGACCTCTGATCATAATTCAAAGATCAATCACAGAGCCCAGACACAAGAAAACGCTCCAACCAGGGGAGAACGGTTAATACTGTTATTTCTTCACATTCTATGCCGTATGTCAGCACAAGATCCAAAGTATGAAGATGAGAATGTGTGGGACTATTCACATTTTGAACAAAGCCAATAGTGTCTAAGATAGCATTAAAGGCTGCTCTTAAGCTATCGCCTTCAATGTCAGCATGGATGTTAAAATCTCCCACTATGATGACCCTGTTAGTATTTAATACCAAATCAGAAAGGAACTCTGAAAACTCATCTAAACATTCAGAGTAAGGACCTGGTGGACGATACAAAGTTACAAAAAGAAGAGGTTTTCTGGCTTTGAAATCTGGATGAAACTAAGGATTAAATGTTCAATTTTATGATAAGATAAAATGTGTTTTTCTTTATTGATGTAGTCAAATGGAAAACCAAATGATCTACAGATGATCTAAACTGTTTATTTGTCTCATCTGAGGAAAATAAATGTTGTTATTTAGCTGAAATAAGTTTAAGATGCATAATAACCATCCAGTAAAATGCATTTTATGTTCAATCCTTTATGAAAAATACATAAAAAATCTCTAGAGGCCTGAAAAATCCTGTTTATCCTGTTTTTGACAGACATTGTTTATTTTTTTTTAGTTATTATTACATTAATTCAATAATAAATGTAGTAAGGCTAAAAGAAAAGCTAAAAGGATAAACATCTCTGTTCCAATTTCAAATTTAAACTAAAGAAAAACTAAATAGTGATAGTTTCAGGGTATCTTCTGTTTTCCTTCTGTCCCAGGTTATAATGAGTTTATTTTGTTTTACGCCTCATAAAGGCGTGAAATGGATTCTCAAAATCTGCTTTACTTGTTATTTTTTAGAAGGAAGAACCATAAAGTTACACTAGAGCATTCAGAGAATGTCTAAGATCAAGTTTAGGTTATTTTAGATGGATTTTAAACATCTTAGATGAGACTAAAAACTAAGATTAATTTAAAAGATGAACCTTTTAAATAATGTGCATATTTAAGGTTTTAATAAATTGTGTTAAATCAGAAGCTTTTAGGCTGTGCTGCTGATGTTGGCCACCAGAGGGAGCTGTTGGCTTTGCTTCAGCAGCAGGAGGAAGATGATGAAGAGTAGGGACCAGGTAGAACGTGAAGCTGAGGTCTAGATGTTCTTCTAACCCGTCTATCTCTATGCTGGAAGGTGGTTCTGGGTTCTGGACTCTAGGATCCGGTTCTGTCAGGACTTTCAGAGCTCTGTGGGTGGGCGGGGCCTCAGCAGGCCTGACAGGAGCTGAGGATTAGGACTCCATCTCCCAGCATGCAGAGCGGCAGGCAGTGAAATCCCTAAAGAGGATTTGTGTGGATCAGAGGCAACATGCCGCTGAAGAAGGAAGGTGAGAATCTGCTCCATGTTTGCTTCTTTCTGTCTCTGACATCAGGAACTGCTTCATCTCAGCATCTTATTCCTCACTTAGATCTGCTGCAGGCTAAACATTGTGACCTCTGACCTCTGGCTGTGTTTAAACTGGGAGCGTAGAGAGTTGGTGGACAGACTGGTTAACTGGGCCCAGCAGGGGTTACTGGTGTGACCTCAGAGGGTCAGAAGGAGAGCGATGAGCGGCGGACGGCTCAGAGGTTCAGACCAGGTTTTCTGTTTGGGACGCGTTCAGCTCAGCTTCTCTTTCTGTCTATACATTCTATTATTCATACATCTACTGCTATATGTTTATATTTACAGTCTATAAATTAGAGAGAGAGTTTAAATCTACCTCAGCTGCTCAACGATCGTCTTTATCAAGCAGAGCATCAAGTTATTGTTCAGATTAAAGGTTCAAAGTTTCTATCTGAGGAAAAGCAGCTGATTGCATCTAGTCATTGATTCTCTGCTCCCTGATGAGCAGATAGAGAACGGTAGATGTTTACTCCTCATCAATCCCTCATAGCAAGCATGCAGCGACAGTGGAGAAGAAAACTTTCTTTGAACAGGAAGAGCAGCTAAGATAGAAATATGACCTGTTTTTCATTTTCATCAGGACTTACTCTATAGTATAGAATCTATAGTAAAGAGAATTGGTCCTAGCAGTGATCCCTGTGGTACTCCACAGGTAACCTTGGAGCAGGAGGAAGATCTATCATTAACGTGAACAAACTGCAATCGGTCAGAATGATCCGATCAAATCAAATGCAGCACTGAGATCTAACAGGGAGGGAAAGGTGGGGATACCTGCTCAGACAGGAAGTAGATCTGCTTCCTTCCTGTCGTCCAGTAGAAGATTAGAAATAAAATCACCTCTCATGGTGGTGTGTGTGTGTGTGTGTGTGTGTGTGTGTGTGTGTGTGTGTGTGTGTGTGTGTGTGTGTGTAGTGCTGATGTTACCTATTTAGGACTGTTTTTGGTTATATTTACTAACCTTCTGAGGACCAACAGGCCTCTGAGGAACCAAAGGTTGGTCCTAATGTGGTGGATCCAATTTTAATGTCACAGAGACAGTTTACAGGTCTGGTGTGAATTAGCTTTAGGAATATAACATATACTGGTGGTTGATGGGACCAAACATCAGTGATGATGAGTTCCTGACTGACAGGTTTCTGGGATGTTCTCAGTCTAAGAGGACCTTAGGTTTGGATCCTCAGCCTTCCTGAGATCTCTGATCAGGCAGGATGCACTGGTCCTTCTGCCGGTCCTTCTGCTGGTCCTTCTCCTGATCCATCTCCTGGTCCTTCTGCTGGTCCTTCTGCCGGTCCTTCTGCTGGTCCTTCTCCTGATCCATCTCCTGGTCCTTCTGCTGGTCCTTCTCCTGATCCATCTCCTGGTCCTTCTCCTGGTCCTTCTCCTGGTCCGTCTCCTGGTCCTTCTCCCGATCCATCTCCTGGTCCTTCTCCCGATCCATCTCCTGGTCCATCTCCTGGTCCATCTCCTGGTCCATCTCCTGGTCCTTCTCCTGGTCCATCTCCTGGTCCATCTCCTGGTCCTTCTCCTGGTCCTTCTCCTGGTCCGTCTCCTGGTCCTTCTCCCGATCCATCTCCTGGTCCTTCTCCCGATCCATCTCCTGGTCCTTCTCCCGATCCATCTCCTGGTCCATCTCCTGGTCCATCTCCTGGTCCTTCTCCCGATCCATCTCCTGGTTCTTCTCCTGGTCCGTCTCCCGATCCATCTCCTGGTTCTTCTCCTGGTCCGTCTTCTGGTCCTTCTGCTGGTCCTTCTGGATTAAACCACAATCATCTAATGACTGAATAAATGCCTTGAGCTCCAGGGCTCCCCCTCCTGGATGGTCTCAGCCTTGTACCTCAGGATAATGGGACTCCAAACTTGGCCGTCTCTGTGTTACCATGGGGATGTGGCCATTTATGCTACCAATTTAGTTTTCTTCTTTAGGTAGTTAGAATATATATTTCAGTTAATTTGGCCAAAATTTTTATTCTTTTAAATAATTGGACTTGCTTATATTAGGTTGTTAATTGTTAGACCCTCCTATTAATGAAAGTAATTAAGAACACAGCGGGGGCTGGGTGGAGGATGATTGTTTGGTAAATGTCTGCTGGGGACGGATTGGTAGATTTGTTTTTTTTTTTTGACCACTTCTTTAGAGCTTCAAACATTAAACTGACATTATTTTGTGTTTCGACTAAGTTGCAACATATTTTTAGTGATTATTTTGTTTCTGCTTTTACAATAAATAACCAGCTGTTACCACAGGTTAGTTGTTTGGGAAGATCTAATCAAAAAGCCTGAGTTAGATGAACCACATGTTCATATCTGCTCTACATCCTCTGATTATTGATGGTAGGCTGATTTCATAAAGTCATTAATCAGCAGGAACTCCACCTCATATACCCACTTTATCAAATGCTCAAACTCCTTCTAATGGTACGCCTGAAATAAATACAGGAAAAGGAGGAAAAAGTCATAAAACAAGACATTGCTAATGGGATCAGAACCAGGCCTCCCATGGAGACTGGACCAATAACGTCTAAAGGTCTGAGAGACTGAGCCAACCAGAACCAACAGCCATTAGAACCAGTAGAACTGCTGACATGTCAGCTGGTTGTTTCTCCTCCAGATACGGAGCGTGCTCTGCAGGCGATGGAGGCCTGCCAGGCCGACGCTGCTGATGGGGTCAAAGGTCGAGCTGAGAAACTGCTCAACATCTTCCAGAGCGACCTGTTCCAGGCTCTACTAGGTAACACAGCACACAGACACTCCCAGTTTACTTCGCTTACCCAGATTAACACAACATAAACTACCAGTTCAACCCAGTTAACATGTCCCAGAATGATTTAAGCGCCCAAAATGAAAACAGGGAGATAGAAGGAACAACTGAACCCAGGGTAGATGTAGAACACTAGGACTCAGCTGAAGACATCAGAACCTGAGGGTTGAATATAGAAGTAGGTGGATGGGAAACAGGAAGGAAGATGGAAGGATTAGAGGAAGGGGAAACACTGACAGGAAACATCAGCAAGGAGACGAAAAATCTGGGCTAATGACCGAGATATGGGTTACCTGGAACTACGGCTGAAGCTACAACTAGGGCTCAGAGAAGAGCTGGAGAAAACCTGGAAGGTCAGGGCATCAGTGGAACCTGTGGTCATTGGGACCCCCAAACTGGAGGAGTGGTTACAACAGATCCCTGGAAAGACATCAGACATCTTGGTCCAGAAGAGTTCTAGGAACAGCAAAGATACTGGCAGAACCCTCAAGCTCCCAAGGCTCTGGTAGAGGACCCCAGCTGGGAGGAAAAAAAGGGGGGAGACCGCCCGTGATGGGTGAGGAAGAGTGTTTTTTAAATATATACAGTATATACAAACTTTACTGTATGATATGTATATAGTTTTCATATTTATTTATTTTATAGCCTCTTACTATAAGTCTCTGTTTATATAAACCATTTATAGTCCATGCAGACATCGTTTTTGTCTCTGTGTAAATAAATATTAGTGACCTGTATTGCACTTCTGGATAGATGCAAACTGGATAGATGCAAACATTGCTTTGTAGTTGTGAGGGTAACGACAATAAAGATGAATTCTATTCTAGTAGAAGAAGCTGTTCCTGGATCAATAGATGGAACTAAAACTAAACCCCAGGATGCAGGAATGACTCTAACTGGTAGAAACAGAAGAAAGACGAGAGCCCAGGTAGAGTCTGTGGATCAAAGACAGAACCAGCAGAACTGGACCATCCAGAACCCGCTGTAAACAGACTGAAGGAGGAGGTCAGATGTTATGAAGCTCGGCGGCTGGTTATGGCGTAGAGTCTTCATTTCCCCCTCAGCTCCAGCAGGGTAGACCACCAGAGGCTCGGCTCTGAGTAGCACTGACCCTCATCTGATCATCAGTTAGATCCTCTGCTCTGATTGGACACATCACTGTAGCTCCCAGTCAGACCTGAAGGTGGCGCTCTATGAGCTAAGTCCTATGGCCAAAATGCAGACTCAGACTGAGAGGCTGGTGTTCCTGGTGAGAGCTGCTGTCAGATCAGCTGTGACATCAGAGACAGCAGGTTATAAAGGACATCAGCACACCTGAGCACAGCTAAGCCCCGCCTCTTTCTCCTCACCACGTGTAGAGACACTGGATCAGATTAGAGCCTGAGCTAATCTGCTCTGATGGAGGCCCCTCCCCTTTCACCTCAGGATTAGCTCAGGTCTGACTGGCTGGACTCTGTAGGTTCACTGTGGGACACCTTGAGACAGTGTCCTTTTAGACTGTCATTCATTGATTTATTTATACATATATATACCTTATTTTATTCCCATTGGTCCTCTGGACATCCATCAGATGTGGACAGAAAGGTCTCAGACTAAGCAGCCACCATAGCCACAGGATGTCAACTGAAATGCATGGTGGTTTATTTAAATTACTGAACGCCTAAAACCAGAACCATGATCCATCAGTAGATGGTAGAACAAGATGGGACAGGAATGACCTCTGTCCATGTCTACAGTCACAGTTTAATGACAAGATTTCACTCAGTGGAAATAAACCCAACAGTCATCTGCATAGAAGGAAATCTGCCAAATGGTAAATGGCACCTATATAGCCATTTTTAATGTCAGGGGACGAAAGTGCTTTACACTACATTCAGTCATTCACCTGCTGTGTGTGTTTCAGACTTCCCTCTGATTGGTCCAATCCTGCTGTGTGTGTTTCAGACTTCCCTCTGATTGGTCCAATCCTGCTGTGTGTGTTTCAGACTTCCCTCTGATTGGTCCAATCCTGCTGTGTGTGTTTCAGACTTCCCTCTGATTGGTCCAATCCTGCTGTGTGTGTTTCAGACTTCCCTCTGATTGG